GGATAGGGCAGGTTTCAGAGCTACTGTTCACAGGGATGCTATGAGTCACAGGCAACTCAACAGCATCTAACAACATAACAACAACAGTTCAGTTACAGAGAATGGTTAGATGACAGTTCATCACACCTAGAAGAAACCCTACAGAGCACAGGTCTACAACACATATGAGCTACAATGAGCCATAATAACACTCCATAGTAACTGGCTACACAATATGCCAGACACTTTTTTAGGGCTAAGTAGTACAAAACAATTGATGTCTGTATCTCACGTCTGTTATATCCCTGACTGAGCCTTAATATCCTGTCATATAAAGTGAAGAGCTCTTTTCAGGGTAGTGGTTCTCAACCTTGAGCATGTTATCAGAATCACCTGGTTGTTGTTGCTGTTGTGCCGTCAAGTCGCCTACAACTCATAGTGACTCTATGTATAACAGCCCTAAACCCTGCTCTGTTCTGTGCCAATCGCACTGTCTCCGACCACCCACCCCGATTTCCCCAGTCACTGAATCAATCCACCTCATAGAGGGTCTTCCCTTCTTGCACTGTCCCTCCACTCTCCCAAGCATGATGTCCCTTTCCAAGCACTGGTCCCTCCTTACAACATGTCCAAAGTATGTCAGGTGAAAACTCAGAATCCTTGCCTCCAAGGAGCAGCCCAGTTTAACCCTCTCCAGGATGAATCTGTTTGTTTTCTTAGCAGTCTATGCTACACTCAGTACTCTTCTCCAGCACCACAGAGAAGCCAAACAGAAGGAAGAATTCAAGATATTAAAGAACTGAACAGAAGATTCCAAAATGCAGCACGGGATGACAAAATATTACAATGAAATATGCAAAGAGCTGGAGTCAGAAAATCAAAAGGGCCGAGCTCACTTAGCATTTCTTAAGTTCAAGGAACTGAAGAACAAATTCAAACCTCGAGTTTCTATAATCAAGGATGCTTTAGGCAGAATATTAAATGATCCAGCAAATATTAAAAGAAGATGGAAAGAATATACTGAGTCACTATCGAAAGGAATTGGCAGACACAGAAGAATTTAATGCAATAACATATGAGCAAGAGCCTGTGGTGATGAAGGAAGAGGTTCAAGCTGCTTTGAAGGAAATAGCAAAAAAATAAGGCCCCAGGAATGGATGGTATATCAATTGACATAGTTCAGCTAACAGATGCTGCCCTGGATGTGCTCACCAAGTTGTGCCAAGAAATCTAGAGAACAACTACTTGGCCAGCTGACTGGAAGAGATCTATATTTGTTCCCATCCCAAATAAGGGTAACCCAACAGAGTGTGGAAACTATAGAACAATATCATCGATTTCACATGCAAGCAAGATTCTACTGAATATTATCCAAAAACGACTGGAACAGCGAGCACATCAGCAGAGAACTGACAGAAATCCAGGCTGGGTTTAGAAGGAGTTGTTGTACTAAAGATATATTGTAGTTAATGTTAGATGGATCTTAGCTGAAAGCAGGGAATACCAGAGGAATGTATATCTGTGTTTCATTGATTATGCAAAGACATTTGACTGTGTGGATCATGACAAACTGGCTGACTCTGAGAAGAATGGAATCCTAGAACACTTGATCGTGCTAATGCGAAACCTAAACTTGAAACAGAGCAAGGAAACACTGCATGGTTCAAAATTGGAGGGATATGTCCTATCTCCATACCTTTTTCAGCCTGTATGCAGAACAGATTATTCAGGAAGCTGGGCTCGATGAGGAGAAGTGTGGCGTCAGGATTGTTGGAAGATTCATCAACAGTCTGCATTATGCAGATGATACAACCTTGCTTGCTGAAACTGAGGAGGACCTGAAGCGCTTGCTGCAGAGGGTCAAGGACTGCAGCCTCCAATATGGATTGAGGCTCAATATTAAGAAGACAAAGATTCTCACCACTGGACCAATTGGCAGCATCAGAATGGAATGGATGGTGAAGAGATTGGGATTGTTCACAGCTTTAGTTTGCTTGGCTCCACAGTCAACACTCTTGGCACCAGCAACCAGGAAATTAAAAGACGAATTGTGATGGGAAAGTCTACTGTGGTGGACCTCTCCAAAGTATTGAAGAGCAATGGTGTCACTCTGGAGACTAAAGTGCGCCTGATACAGGCCATGATCTTTGCGATCACTTGCTATGCGTCAGAGAGTTGGACTATGACTAGGGAGGATAGAAGGAGAATCACCTAGAGGGTTAGTTAAAAAATATTGTTGTAAAAAAAATATTGTTGTGTCTTATCTATCCTCAGAGTGTCTTGATTCAGTCTGGGAGAATTTATAATTTCAGTAGGTTCTCAGATGATATTGGTGCTACTGACTCTCAGACTACACCTTGATAACCATTGGTTAGGTATACAAATTAATCACCATTGTATCCCCTTTATCTATCTAGTCAGTACAGTCAATATGTCTGGCATAGAATTGATACTCAGTAACTGGCACTCAGTTTCATAAATATCTGTTGAATAAATGAAAACTCAGTTATTGGCATGTGTGTTAGAACCATTCTTTTTTATTCTATGTTAATGTGAAAGGATATTTAATGATACTCCATTATAATGTGAGAATGGCACAGAACTGGTGTTTTGCCCCGTTGTATACACAGGGTAACTATGAGTTAGAACAAGCTCAGTGGTATCTAACAACCACCACTATAATCACTCCATTGGTCCCAGTGTGTAATAATTTAATGGTGGATAATAGTATTAAGAGCTACTCTCCATCATATATATATGCTGCAACTGCAATCTCAGAGATGCACGGTTCAAATCCACCAGATGCTCTGTTTACACACATAATTTGCTTTGTTTTCCTGTGCTGCCCTTTGAAATCTTCTGATCATCTCCTTAACATCTTGATTTCTTCCCTTTGCTTTGGCTTCTCAGCACTCTAGTGCAATATTAAGACTCTCTTCTGACATCTATCTTGGTCTTGTCTTCTTCCTCTGTCTTTGTAATGACATTTTGCATTTTTGATGATATTTTTTATATCCTCCCGCAGGTCATCTGGTCTTCGCTCATTAGTATTCAGGACCTCAAACCTGTTCCTGAGATTGTCTTTTCCATTCTTTTAATTCAGGAGAGATAGACTGTAGGTCAAACTTTGGTTCTTGTGGATTTGATTTTATTTTCTTTAGCTTCAGTTTGAACTTGTATACTAGTAGTTGATGATCTGTTCCACAGTCCCCATCTGGCCTAGTTTTCACAGCTTATATTGAGCTTCTGCAATGATGTTTCCCGCAGATATAAACGATCTGATTCCTCCGTAGACCACATCATGATAGAGAAGAAGAGATTATTAACAGCTTCAGCTTGCTTGTTTCCACAATCTACCCCCATTTTCTTTTTCCACAACCAACACTCTTAGAATAAGCAACCAGGAAATCAAAAGATTAATTGCACTGGGACAGTCTTCTATCAGAGACCTTTCCAGAATACTGAAGAGCAGTGATGACATTCTAGAGACTAAGGTGTACATTATCTGGGCCATGGTCTTCATTATTACTTGCTATACATCAGAGAGCTGGACAGTGACTAAGGATGATAGAAGAGTTCTGGTGCTAGAGAAGATTATTGAACATATCATGCGCTGCTAAGTGAACAAACATCTGTCCCAGAGAAGGTGAAACAAAGGCTCTTCCTTGGATGCAAGGGTATGTTTGCCAGGAGGGACCCGTTTTTGGAGAAGGGTGTTATACTTGGAAAGGTAGAAGGACAGAACAAGAGAGGAAGTTGGATAAGATGGATTGACTCAGTGACTTGGGTAAGGGGAGTAGGCATGTTGGAGATGATGAAATTGGCTTTAGATAGAGCAAGGTTCAGAGCTTTTGTACATAGGGTTGCTGTGAGTCACAAGTGACTGGCTAGAATAACAACAGTATGTATCGATACAGATAGAGATATAGATAGATGTAGATAATTATAAGTCATTATTTACTATCATAAATATTTTGAGATCAGAATTACTGAATTATTGCATGTAACTCGAATTTCCTACAGCATTTATGAAGGAATGTGTCTTAGTTTTGATTTTTCAATATTTAAAAATAGGCTGTGGTGTTAGCCTAAAAGTTAGCATTTTTTTTTTTTTAAAAAGTTACTTTTTTTAAACTATTAACGTTAGATCCCCTGGTCTCCATCTACCTTAACTGCAGACACTTAGTCTTGAAAATCAGAACGGTCTTGTAAATGACCAATAGGCATGAGACTAGGATAAGAGAAAGAGTGCTTCTCACACTGGACAACAAGACTTGAGGCAAGCAAGACTTACGTCAGCAAGACTTGAGTGAGACCCTGGTGGAAAGATTCTGGTGATAGTGGTGGAGAGACTGTGGAAATGTGTAAACCAGAGGAGGCCTGAGATAAAGGTCACAGTTAAAGGATTTTGCTGATCTTGCCTTTGATGATGGAAGGAAAAGCTGCTTGCTGAACTGGAGCTTGGACTAATTGAGTAATTGTGCTTTGGGATTGCTTACCTAAAACTTGGATTTGCATTAGGTGATATTCTTTGCCTCCTGCACACTCCAACTTACTTTTCTAATAAACCCCGTTCTCAGTACCACAATTGTTAATCTGTGAATCTGCTACAAATAAATGAGCTTGCTGCTGTTGAGGCTCTAGAGGCACCATAGGGCTGGACTATGGGCTCTTCATCTGTTTTCTGCTCTAGGACACTGAGAAGCTATGCTATTCTTACTCCCTCTGGCCCTTTCAGAGAGACGCTAACAGCCCTGTGCCTCTGTCCAGTTTGCTCATCTTTAGACATAGACCAAGGAATTTATGACTTTTTATCTTTCAGGAAACTTCTGAGACAAGTGATAATTCCCTGCCCCATCTAATCTGTAAATACTCTTTTTTGATGAGGAATATCTTTTAGTTTCTCATTTTGACATGTGTTGTTGTTGTTGTTATGTGCGGACGCCGAACAGAGAGGGGCGGAGGGGGTCGACGGGGACTTGGGGACTTGGACGTCTCTGCGGATTCTTTCCACGGTGCAGCCTGCCGGCCAGCCAGCCAGCCAGCCAGCCCGCCCCTGACTGAATGTGCTCCCGCTCCCGCTCCTCCTCCTCCATCTCCACCATGTGCCATCGGTGACCGCCGCCTGCACCAAGAGGCCAAGGCGGCCGGGGGCGGGGACGGGGGCGGTAGTTATGTTAAATTAGGCATTTTTTTTTAATTAAATGGGCAATTAAAATTATTTAGGTCTGTGTGTTTAAGAAAAATGACAAGGAATAAAACTTCTTTAAAATAGAATGAATTGCCTCATTGTTACCAGAAAGTTCAAAGTTTCTTTTTAAATAATACATTTATTCTCCACAAAGGATAGGAGGTAAGTTATTTTGTTTCAGAATAACTTTTAAACTGAAAAGCCTATTAATTTAAAACCATTTATTACATGAGAATGGGAACCCTGGCTTCTCAGGACCTTGCAGTGTCTTCAGAATCTGGCACATAGTAAAGTGACTCTAAAACACATTGAAGGAAGGGATGATGAGAGGTTATGATGGAAAACTCTAATCATCCCTTCCTTCAATGTGTTTTAGAGTTAGTTTAGCTGGACTTGTACTTGAAGCCAGGATATTTAAGATGATTGCTTGAGATCCTTTGCAAATATGATACTTTAGTCTATACCATTTTTTGTTGTTATTGTGCACCAGTGAGTCAGAGCCGTTTTGGGAGGCAGTAAGTCACATGGAGGAAACTGTCCATCTTTCTCCCACAGAGCTGCTGGTGGATTAAAACTGAAGACTTTGGAATTGGCAGTGCAGTTCCTTACCACCAAGCCACCAGAGCTCCCACTACTTTGGAACAGCTAATTTTTTTTTCTATAATTATATTTTATTAATTTTCATAAACATTTACAGAGATTTTGGGCTTCCTCTCATTCATTGTTGCACTATT